GTTTTTTACCTCTGATTTACTGCAATGTCCGAACTGTCCTGAGCGCGTTCGCGTCTTCTTCTTCAGCCGGCACGTGACGCGTCTTCTTCTTCTTCTTCTTCTTGCTTTACAGCAGATCGCAGACTTATAAGTGCATTACCGCCACCTATCTCTCAAATGGACCATTGACACCCCTAATTGAGATTGTAGATAGAGTGTCAATGGTCCATTTGAGAGAATGGAGAGTTTGCGGTGAATCAGAGGTAAAAAACGATATAAATACTGTTTCTTGCACAGACTGATCATTTCGTGTCTTTACACATCAATGTATCGTCACGAGCCGCAGGGTTTAATTTGGTTTTGTTTCAAAGCCGTGATTCCCAATCACTTCCATTATAAGACTGACAGACTGCAACGGTTTGAGTTAAAAATCTTCGTTTGTGTTCTACTGAAGAAACAAAGTCACCTACATCTTGGATGCCCTGGGGGTAAGCAGATAAACATCACATTTTCATTTTTTGGTGAACTATCCCTTTAACACTACGTCATTCTTAAGTTATACCTTAAGCTGTACCTTGATGTTACTATCTGACTATAATGTTAAATGTTCTTAGTTAAGTATACCTTGTGTAAGTCATATGTTCATAAGCTTGGTCTGGACCATTCTTAGTTATACCTTATCACTGTTGACAGTTCACTCCTCTAGTGGCCACCACTGTGCAGATATTTTTTACAAAATCAATCTATACGGATATAATTCTGAAGTTGTAATACACCAAGTGTTCAATTAGCCTAATTGAAGTGTTTGCATGCAAGGAATAAAACTGTCATTACACCGAAGGTTGTTAGCTTTTTAATGATATTATCCAAAGGTACATCAGCTGGCAAACCATTAGGCAGTAAAGGCTCAGAAGTCTATTTAATAGGGTTGCAAAGGGGTGGAAAATTCCCGGACAAATTCCACCTTTTTGCAACCCTACTATTTAAAGAGAATGATTGTGGTGGGGAGTTTGGTCAAACAATGGCAGCGATAAAATGAATAGTTATGCACCAGAACGGCCAGGCATAAAAACACTTTCTTCCCTCAGGCAATCCACCTCATGAACAGTTAACTTGCCAATACACATACACAACATTATTTATACATTTATTTATTATTCTATTTTTATTTTTATTTTTTATGATCTGTGTCACTGTCATTCTGTTTGCGCTGCCACTGTGGAAGCTTCTTTCACCAAAACAAATTCCTCATATGTGTAAACATACCTGGCAATAAATCAGATTCTAAATCAAAGATGGCACCATCATCCGCATTTCATCTGTGAAAACTTTAGTCCCCTGGCTACCATGTCAGAAGAATCTGCAATCCTCAATTCTAAAAAAAAAAAAAAATTGCCAGCCATGGTAGCAAATTCAGCAGCTTTTCGATCTTGTTGTTCCGACTTTGTCGAGGCGAACTCAATGGAGCTACCTCCTCAGCCACAGATTATATCCATATGCCTTGCCTTCCACCAGGCATGAAGTGATGGAGGTGCATCAAGGCTTCCATGCCATTGCCTGTAAAGTGGCCTGGTAGCACACACAACAGCTTTACGTGGGCCAGTTCAGCAGTGGGTCAAGATGCCAAAACAGGGGTTTTTGGCCTAGAGTGTGTTTTTTTTTTTTTCTCAGGGGACAGCGGTTACCCCTTCAGAACCTATCTTTTAAATCCAGTCACCAACCCCACCACACAGGCCAAGCACAATTACAACATTGCACACATCCGAACCTACAACTTGTTAGAGCGCTCAATTGGGCGCTAGAAGATGCATTTCCAGTGCCTGCATAAATCAGCTGGAGGGTTGTGTCTGAAGCCAGAGAGAAATGTTGCTGAGTGGAATCAACAGCTTGTGGTTTATATATATGACAAAGGTATTTGGAGAACCTTGCACACTCCCAAACTATGCTGAGACATACCTTTTCAATCTGAGTGTATCTTGTTTAAGTTACATGAACAGTAAGCTATGGGTCACAATCATCCATCTAGATGTTGGAAGAGGAACGTTCCCAGCCTGTACCAGGGTTGAAAATAAATTTGGCAGGGCTGTGGAGTGTTTCGCACCCTTGTTTTAGGAGATCATTGAGCAGCTGGGTTGTCTTAGCCAAACCAGGTAGGAATCTTCCTAGATAATGAACCATCACCATCATCATTTTAACTTCTGTTACATTTTGTGGAGGTTGAATATTCATTATAGCCTCAGCCTTTTTCATGTCTGGCATAAATGCCACGCCCCAGAAACTGAATCTGTGTTTGTCTTAACAGACATGTTTCATCATTAAGCTTCAGTCCAGCATTACAGAGTGTCTTCAGGACCATCTTTAGGCATTGTTCACAAACCTCCTGTGTTTTACAATAGCCGATTATGTTGTCAATGTATGCTACATTCATTTTTTTCTCAGAACTGGCATCATTGATGAACACCATTCCGTTGCTTCCATAATTTCTTCAGTTATGCCACACTTCACCATTCTGTCTAGTTTGACTTTCACTTAAGGACACTTTCAGAGCTGTTGTTACTGTGTAAGTCTCCACACCTGCCTTTAGCTTGATTCTCACATCAGTGGATTTTAGGAGCCTGACAGACAATGTCTAGGATCTTTGTCTAGGGTAAAACAACCGTGGGAATAATAATAATACTTGATAATATTACTGAATGTATTTATTGCTTGTATAGCTACCATACAAGAAAGTTAGCATCTTACAAATGCACATACATATGAAATCATGAAGTTAAATGAACTCATCACATGCTAATTTAGTGCAATACAGATTCAAGATCAAGGAAAGCGATTTTAACAAAATTAAAACTTTTTCTTTTCCAAAAATTACAATAATTAGAATTGAATTGGGTTATGTACCACATAGATAAACGTAGGACATGTGCTTTTGTACTTTAGTTTTGTGGAGCGAGGATGTAATATTAACATTTATAATATATTAAAATAGCATACTAAGATAAGAATGCTCACTAACATTTATAAAAACCACCTCTAGATAAACAACGTCAAGAAAACTCCACAGAAAGTTTTTCTAAAAACAAAGCACAGTTTATTAAACATTCAGTAACAAACAAACAGCCCATATGAATCAAGAAAAACAATATTTCTGTTTTTGTTTGCACATTTTACACACAGGCTTCTATACAATCCTATTGCAGGGGTATATGCATGAAGTAAAGATGTAAAGAGCAGATCTGGCTTTATTTTTCAGAGATCTCCTGAGATGCTTTTCAAAGGATCTAGTTTGGGTGACAGCTACTGTTAAAATAGAAACTGAATCACGTTTGGGATATTTTTACGTTGGTTGTTTTAGATGTGCTGAAATGAAACTAGGCCCAGATATTACAAAGGTTATTAATGCAGAGCAGAAGCTTTATACAGCAGGAGCTGATGAGGTTAAACATGAGATGTAACGATTGTCCCAATGCAGTATTCACAGGTGTGTCATGCTGTGTTGTCATTATGTGTAATGATTCACTGGCCCTCACTAAACCTGTCTATTAGGCTTCCTTTTCAGTATTGATGGTAAAGGCGTGTATTTAGAGTGTATTCACTGATCAATTGATCAAGCGTTTATGAACTATGTGCGTCTGGCCTGTCAAAGCTGATCATGGCTGCTGTGTCAGTTTAACGTATTACACTTCTGACGGCACATTCAACATACAGAACAATTATACAAACATAAACATATAACACATGGCATACCTGGACATTCCTACAATACATCAATGTGTTTAAAAATAATAAATTAAACAAGAAATTGTGTTTAAGGCTTTTTCCTGGACATCGTGTGGGTATTTTATAAATTAATAAATTACCATTTAAAAGGTTGTTTGAGTAAGAGTTTTCTTATCTTTTAAATGATTTACTACTTTTATTCATTGAGGATGCGTTAAATTAATCAAAGTGACAGTGAAGACTATTCATCAAAGAGTCTTGAAAATAAAAGTACAACACGTTTTCAACATCATTGCTAATAAGAAATGTTTCATGAGCATCAAAGGTGAATGATTTTTGAAAGATCATTAAGGACTGGAGAAATGGCTTCAAAAAATTACATTTTAAAATATATTAAAAGAAAAAACTGTTATTTTGAACTGTAATAATAATTCACAATATTTTTTACTGTATTTTTGATCATATAAATGCAGCCTTGGTGAACAAAACAGACCTTTTCAAAAAAAAAAAAAAACTTTTAAAAATCTTATCGATCCCAGACTTTTGAATGGTAGCGTAAATAAGTGCTGAACTATAATAACTTTAGTCTGCAAATTATTGTCATTTCAACTCAGACAAATAAGAAAACAACATTTTATTCAATTCATTTTAAGACATTCAAATTCCTCATTATGCCTAATGACAATGATGATACTCATGACCCCATACTATGAAAACTGAATACATTACAGGTTAGATGTGGATGATCAGTTATTTCTACATTCTTTAAATTATCTTAATGGTCCTGTGAAAAATATATCTGCTGCAAGATGTTGGATCACTAAATTTCTTTTCACATCCAATCGTCAACCACATTGTATTACATTCAGTCATCATTCATTTACTCATGTCGCTCCAAACCCATAATTGAATTTGAAATTAAATGAGTACTGATGTATACTGAGCTCCAAATATGAGCTAAAAGTATCATAAAATTGAGGAATTGACTGTTCTCTTCCCATTGGACCTCTAAAATAACATTTGCACTTACACATATTCAAACTGGTATGTTGCAATTGGTTATGATAAACGAGACAACCAAAGCCATTCAGCATCATAGATATCAAACCTGATGTGCCATATTTGAATATATGTGAACACACATGAAATTTGACTTTCATTGAATAGAAAAGACTAAAACTTGTTTTGTTTTAGCACATCTTATGAATCTGGAACAGCACGAGTAAGTGATGACAGAATTCTCGTTTTTGGTTAAACTTTTCCTGTAAAACCTCGCAATACAACTGAACATACAACACCCAACTACTGGTCTGTTTAGGACTTTGAAAGCTCTAAAACACATCACCTTAAGCCTTAATATGACATTCAATGATGTTACTACTCCTAGCTCTGCAATTCCTGCAATTCCAGTTTACTTGTATTTTCTCAATCTATTAACTCCCCGGGCCACAAGTCATAATGGAGCAGGCCAATAAACGCTACAGGAAACACTGTGTACAGTAAGTGCACATTCCTAATGATATGATATATAATGTAAATGACATCTATTGTTGACATAGAGCATGTAACATGCTAGAACCTCTTTCCTCTAGCCCACGTTCTCGTCTCATAAGGTGTGTCCCATACTGCTGCTGACCAGTCCTTTAACGTTTGTCACAGGTCTGACATCATGTAGCTGTTTGCGTCGGTCTATAAACGCAGCGAGTCTGACAGTGTCCAGCGGTGTTTTGGAGTAATCTCCACTATGAGCGCTGACCCACGGGTGCTGCAGACATGTAGCTGAGCTTGGCCTCTTCCTGGGGTCCTGGTGAAGCGTGGACACAATGAAGTCTTTGGCGGCCTGGCTAACGTCACTGAAGTACTCCTCAGGAAAGCAGAAATCCAGCCTGCAGATGTTGACGCAGGTCTCCTCCAGGCTCTCGTCCAGGAACGGGGAGACTCCACTGAGCATGACGTAGGCCAGCACCCCTACACTCCACAAGTCTGTGGACAGGGACACCGGGGTGCCCTGGATGAGCTCTGGAGCGGCAAACTCAGGGTTCCCCAGGAGGAGATGCACGTAGCGGTGACCCGAAACCTGTACAGCATCGCCCAGATCTGAGAGCTTCACGCAGGGCACCGGCACATGGAGGTCCACCAACAGGTTTTCAGGCTGAAGAATGAGAAAGAGTTGAAAACTCAAGACTCTGCACTAGGTTTCAAAACTCTTCTTTAGTGGTCACCTACTTAACACTCTTAAAAATAAAAGTTCCAAAAGGGGGTTTTCACAGCGATGCCATATAAGAACCAGTTTTGGTTCTCCAAAGAACCTTTCAATTAACAGTTCTTAAAAGAACCATTTTTTTCTGAGTGTGAAAAACATTTTAATAGTCTAAAGAACCTTTTCCACTATAAAGAACCTTGTGTGGAATGAAAAGGTTCCATGGATGGTAAAGGTTCTTTGTGGAACAATTGATGCCAATAAATAACCTTTATTTTTAAGAGTGTAGTGGGTGCATGCTTGTACAAAAATTAAAATGCTAGTGATGTGGATGTTTGCCAGGGTGTTTCAGGCTATGTTGTTCTTAAGGTGTTCTGAGTCCTTTTAGCACATTGCTGTGTGGTTGATGGGGTGTTGGGTTTTTATCAAAGTCCCTTTCAAAGAAAGTCAGTAGAACACCTCTGGACAGCTACAGTATTTTAGGCATGTAAGACCAACTCCTATCTACTTGAATGGAGAAATACAGAAATCTCATAAATGTCCTACATTTCAATAGCATATTTCAAATCAGTAATGAAATCTGATATTATCTGTCTATTAAATGCTATTTCTTACACTCAAATAACATTAAAAAAATTTTTTTTTAGGTTGGTCCAGCCAATGCACATGTGCAGTGCTAAGCGCCAGTCTCAGGATACCTATATTAGATCCACCAAATTCTGTCTTGCAGTCTCTCCCATTCATAGTAATAAATGATCTTGGTGTATATGTAACCCCCTTCAGTTCTACTCCCCTCATTCGCTCTGAGTGGGATTCGAACCGGTGTTTCTGGCATGGGAGGTGGGCTAACAAGGATGCTAAAGACCTAGCGTCAGTTGCTAGTGTGCCTCTTGAAATCAGGGGAGTGAGGTTTACCCACACAGCTCTTACTAGCTGGCCTCCGTAACACTCACCCCCCTAAACCCTTACTCCCATCCGGGTCACGGCACCAATGTAACCCCTCTGGTTCTACTCCCAATACACAGCTCTTCACAGCTGGCCTCCGTAACACTCACCCCTCTAAATCTCACTCCCATCCGGGTCACGGCACCAATGTAGCCCCTCAGGTTCTACTCCCCATACACAGCTCTTACCAGCTGGGTTCCATAACACTCACCCCCCTAAGCCTCACTCCCATCCGGGTCACGGCACCAATGTAGCCCCTCAGGTTCTACTCCCCATACAGAGCTCTTACCAGCTGGGCTCCATAACACTCACCCCCCCTAAACCTCAATCCCATCCGGGTCACGGCACCAATGTAACCCCTCAGGTTCTACTCCCCATACACAGCTCTTACCAGCTGGCCTCCGTAACACTCACCCCCTTAAACCTCACTCCCATTTGGGTCACGGCACCATTATAACCCCTCCGGTTCTACTCTCCATACACAGCTCTTACCAGCTGGCCTCTGTTACATATCTTGGCACACGCTGATGTGGTGGTATGATGTTTTACCTTGAGGTCCAGGTGAGCTACTCTGCATGTGTGCAGGTGCTGCAGAGCTTCCAGAGTGTCTTTAATGAAGAATGCCACCTTCTCCTCCATCAGCTCATCGTGAGCTACCAGATAGTCCAGCAGACGCCCATCCTCAACCCTGAACACACATAAATATGATCATATCATTGCAGGTCATTCTTAAAAATAAATTCCACTTGAGTTTGTACGTGTGCGGAAAAAGAGAATGTTCATCCCGTTTCATACAACAAAACAGACTAAAATCTCATTGGTAATTTTATTTTTTTACTGAATATTTACTGAATAGATTTAGAATATGTTGAGTCTTGGAGCTCTTCTGCGCTCTATAGAATTCTGCAGGGATGACGCCATTTTGTAGGTCATTCTGGAAGTGAGCATCATCCTGGTTCCTTTAGCAAAAAAGTCAATAGGCTTTTTTTTCCTGTTGGCTTTTAGATTATTGCAGAAAGCATGATTTTTATGACTCTTCTTCATTTTGTTCATCAAGGCATAAGATAATCCCATATAGGGCCCTCTCTCTAATCAGGGCCCCTGGAATTGCGTCATGATGCGGTGCCCCCGTCTAGTCCCATAATTGTGTAATTGAGAAATGGGCTGTCAATGGAAGTGTCTTTGCTTTTTAAATGGATTTACTCACAGCTCAAGAACCAGCATGTAGGCCGTGGGAGACTCATAGGTATCAATCAGCGCCACCAGCTGCGGATGCTGGACATGACGCAGGATATCAGCCTCATGGGCCACCTGCTCTTTCTTCTGCATCTTCTTATTGACAAACTTCACAGCAACCTCCTTCTTACTGGATTTACTGAGACACTTCCTCACCACTGAGAAACGACCCCTAAAACAGAAAACATATGAGTCAGCGGAGTTTGTTACTGACAGGATGAAGAATGATGGACTGCATTTTAATAGAAGTAAAAAGTAAAAAAAATAATCTATACCGTCCAATTTCACATAATTCTGTAAATGCAGATTCAAAGTTGTCTTTCCACTGGATTCCAGTGCCGTCGTATGTCGAGGCTTCATAAAAGAGAAGAAAAAAGGAGAGTATAAGAAATGTATTTCGAACAGATGAATTACACTATTTATAGCGCTATTCCAAAACCTGGTGCTGCCTACATAGACAATACTTTATAGGCATCATAGGTGCGCTTTTGACATGAAGACTTTTCCAAAAAGGATAGTTTTCCAAGCATATTCTTTCTAGAATACTTTTGTGACTAGTGGAGTGGGGCAGAGAGCCGTGGGAGCGGAGCGAGGCCGGAGGAGTTTAATGATAATGAGTGACCCCTGCGCCACTCACTGGTCTCGAGTCCCACGGAGGAGCTCCGGAAGGATAAAAGGAGGAGTGACGACAGTGGAAGATGAGAGAGGACCAGGTCTGGACGTTATTTTGTTTACTTTGCTACAACTTTATTTTGGCTAAAATGGAAGGCAGCATTGCATGTATCTTTTGTTGAGAAGTCAATCCGAGATTGCAATGTGACAAGCTCTGTTATTTATTTATTAATCATAAATACTAAAACTACTTGCGGATCTAAAATTTAAATACATATTTTTAATAATGATTTTATAATAGGTTTAGGGGGAGCTAGGGCAGACAACAACACAACCCTTACGAAAATTAACGATGATTTTACTATAAATCCAAAGACAATGGTTACTATTGTTAAACCATGGTAACCACAAATTAACCATGGTTTTTGCTACACTAACCATGAAATTTGTAGTAAGAATAAATACAAATGGTAACCCATTTGCCAAAAAAAACCAAAACAAACAAAAAAACATGGTTACTGTACTTTTACTATAATAAAAGCATGGTTAATTTTTGTAAGGGAAAAACATGACTAGTGTTCAGTATTAGGATTTTTCTATAAAGATATTGTAGTGATGTACTAATTTTGACATGTAGGCTATTTAGAAAGTATAGTTTTGTTAAATCTTGAGTATTAAAGTCATGAGAGAGATAGA